TTAATCATCTGTCTTTATCTTATACTGTGCAAATAATGGGAAGAAACTCAGAATGACATATGGAAGGAGTTATCTGGTGATCTAGGATTAAAATACCACCATCCTCTAAAGAGTCCAACATTCTTAACTATATCCACTATCTGGCAACCGAGCCCCCTCTTTCATCGTGCAGCAATCATTTAGGAGTATCTACTACGTGCCAAGTAATATACTAGACACTTGGTTTATAAACACAAATGAGACAATTACTGACTTTAAGCAATAATGTAGGAAGAGCAGGCCAAGGGAGAAATAATGACATGTAAACAAACAAATCCAAGCATGTACCTAAAAAAAAGGTCTTCTGGAGAGCCCAAAAGTGAGATCAAAGTTTTCAACCTCAAGTGCAATTTTGGGCAATTTCCCTACTTTAAATACTTTAAGCCTTGAACCCCTAAGACTATAACTTTTAGCAGAGACTTGAAAACAAGGAGTCTTGACCAAGAGGACGATAATCTAAAATGAACCTACTCAATTATTTTTCCTGAACTCTAAATCCCAAGACAGTCTTCTCCAGGTTCTCTGCAGTTTCCCGTCTTATTCTTTTCTACTAGTCAGTGGAATGAAATCATCCTGTATTCCCTACTTTTGCTAACAATAATCTTTAATTTCTCTTTTGGAACCCGAAGATAATCATAGCCAATGTCTGTTGGGACTTTCACCGTTTATAGAATATTTTCACATACTTTGCAGATGATTTGTTCCTCACTGTGGGATGCCATTGCCTTCATTTTACAGATGAGAAAACTGAGGCTCCAAGAGGTGAAATAATTTCCACCAAGATAAACCATTAACAGTTGGAGGAGCTAGAACTGTAACCCGGTCTTGATGGCCAGGTCCAAATCTCTTGATACACAGCACCACGTTCTCCTGATTTCTGTCACGGAGTCTCTGCCTTCTCTCCCTCCTTGTCTTTGCCATCTTCTGTCTCCATTACAGTAGCCTTATAACTAGTCTCCCTCAAGTTCCCATCGTAGTGGGTCTTAACCACTTGGTAACACGGGCCAACTTGAGTCACTCCATATAAGCATGTCTGAAAAGATTTTTCATATAATTTGAAGTTCACTCACAGACCCCTAGATTAATAACTTTGCTTTACTCCCTCAGGTTTCCCATACATCCCCAAATGACTCATCTCCTAAAACTCCTCTATGATCATATTTCAAGGCTCAGCCTTTAGTGGTTTCCCACTGCCTAGTGAATGAAACAAATTCACTACCCTGACCTTCCAGGCCTTTCCTGCTTCTCTACTGTCAGTCTACTACACAAATTCTAGATCCACTCTCCGAACTAGTAACTGTCATCCTTCAGATATGTCTGATGCTTTCTCACAACTATGCTCTCAACATTAGACGTCACCTACCTCCAGCCTCCCTGCTTCTGTCGGAGCTGCCCAAGACTGATTAACTTTGCGGGCAACTGCATTACACTGCTGACTGGTATTAAGGTTGCAGGAAACTAAAACCCATCAGGTCTTTTTCACTTGTGCTGCATTCAAGCCAAGTTTCCTGGAACTAAAGACAACATTTTACTTGGGCTTTATTCCGTATTTCTTATTAGAATCAGCCTCTTAAGATCTTTTGCCATCATGGATCCTATCTTCCAACATATTACTTGTCCCTCCCAATCTCCTGGCATCCAAAAATAGAATTAACTTACTATCAGTGTCCTTTTTCAGTTTAGTGATTAAGATGTTGAATAGGACAAGGATAAGTATCCTGTCACCTCCATTATATTCTTCCTTATCATCATTCTTCAAATATCCAGACCATATTCTATTCTATCCACTAAGCAAGTGGTTCTTAACATTTAGTGTACATAATCACCCAAGATGCTTGATTAAATGCAAACTCCTGGGTCTCAGCTCCAACAATTCAGTAGATCTGGAGTAGGGGCCCAGGAATCTAGATTTTTAACAAGCTCAATGTATCTGATATTGGGGTGAAGAGACCACTTTTTAAAAATGATGCCCTAAACTTTTTTTGATCCTGTTTTTTCAGCAACATTAATGGCTCCCTCCCCTGGGCTCCTATAGCTACATTGAAAACTCTTTTGAAAGCAAGGATCCTATCTTTCTTGTTCTCCATTACACCTCTAGGGCAGAGCACATTCCTAGGAGTATTAGGGGCTCTGTAACTTTTTGTTAATGAATGAATATAATCTTTATTGTCTGTGCCATTCATGTAACATATGAATGTATTGAACCCATTGGTATATAGATGAACTCTCAAACTCAAGTATTATCCAAGAAATGACAAAAGCTATGTAAAATATAGACTTGTGTCTTCTGCAGCACCAGAAGATGGAAGATTACTCCATAAAAATTTATCAAAATAGATAAGAGGAAGTGAATAGAGATCCTAGAAATCAAGATATATGACACCTTGCCATACAATACAGTTGACATAAATCAGTGGGTGAAAAATGGAATGTTCAATAAAAAGTGCTGGGAAAACTATCCATAAAGAAAAGTGTACCTCATACCATAGACCATACACAAAAATACACTGTAAACAGATTTAAAAATCTAAACATGAAAAGCAAAACTATAAAGTTTTTTATTAAAAAACTAAGATATAGTACCTTCATTATGGTGCTAGAGAAGGATTTTTTAAATAAGATATACAAAGAGTTTATAAAACTTGAAAAATTGACACATTCAAATATATTAAAATTAAAATATCTTCATAAGAAAAAGACCTTAAAGAAGTGCAAGGACATGCCCCAGATTGAGAAAAGGTATTTGTAACGGATAACAATAGAGACTTTGTACAGAGAACATATTAAAAAATTTTAAAAATCAATTACAAAAAGAAAATCCAATAGAAAAATAAGCAAAGAATATGAACAAAGATTTCATGAAAGAGGAAGACATTAATTAGGGAAATGGAATTAAAAAGAAATCCAGGGGCCAGCCTGGTGGCATAGCGGTTAAGTTTGTGCACTCTGCTTTGGTGGCCTGGGGTTCACCGGTTCAGATCCCAGGCACAGACCTACACACCACTTATCAAGCCTTGCTGTGGCAGGCGTCCCACATATAAAGTAGAGGAAGATGGGCATGGATGTTAGCTCAGGGCCACTCTTCCTCAGCAAACAGAAGAGGATTGGTGGCAGATGTTAGTTCAGAGCTAATTTTCCTCAAAAAAAAAAAAAAGAAATCCAAAAACTCTAAGATTGGCAAAAATTAAAAATGTTGATAGCATCAAGTTGAGGTGCAGATGTGCGAAAACAAGAACTTACACATGCCATGATATATAGACTGATACAATTAGTTTAGAAAGTAAATGAGTAGTGCCTAATAAAATTGAATGGCAGGGCTAGCCCTGTGCCTGAGTGGTTAAGTTCACACACTCTGCTTCGGCAGCCCAGGCTTTCGCTGGCTCGAATCCTGGGTGCAGACATGGCATCTCCCGTCAGGCCACGCTGAGGTGGCATCCCACATGCCACAACTAGAAGGACCCACAACTAAAATATACAACTATGTACTGGGAGGATTTGCAGAGGAAAAGCATAAAAAAAATAATAAGAAGAAGAAGATTGGCAACAGTTGTTAGCTCAGGTGCCAATCTTTAAAAAAATAAAAATAAAAAATTGGGGGCCAGCCCAGTTGAGCAGCGGTTAAGTTCGCACATTCCACTTTGGCGGCCCGGGGTTCGCCGGTTCTGATCCCCGGTGTGGACATGCACCACTTGACACACCATGCTGTGGTAGGCGTCCCACATATAAAGTAGAGGACAATGGGCATGGATGTTAGCTCAGAGACAGTCTTCCTCAGCAAAAAGAGGAGGATTGCCAGAGTTAGCTCAGGGCTAATCTTCATCAAAAAAAAAATAATAAATAAATAAATAATTAAATGGCGCCCATACTCCAGGACCCAGCAAAATGCGTCCACATGGGTATACCCAGTGAGACATGTAATGGCTATCTACTAGAGCATTGTTTTTTAAGAATGAAGGAATGGAAACCACTGAACTATCTATCAGTAGGGGAGTAAATAAACAGTGGTTTAGTCTTATAATCGGAGTTAAAATTCACAGGCGGTTACAGCAAACAAAATCTACATGGATGGACTGCAAAGATACAATGAGGCCATACAATATCACCTATGAAAAAATGTAAAATAGATTTTTGCTTGTAAGAATTTTTCAACAAAATGGTACATTTTTATTTAAAGCTTTCTATTATGACCATTTTCAAACACACAAAATTAGAATAGTATAGTGAAACTCCTTGTACTCATCACTTTGCTTTAGTAGTTTTCAGTATTTTGCCAGCAATTGGTATACATTTTTAAATACCAAAATTCATGCTGAGGGAATGGCCGTTAAGCAGGGCCCATGACAGCACAGGACAAGGAAAAAGGAGAGCTGGGTTCTAGTGCAGCCACTGCCACCATGTGCAGTGTGGCTCGCACACACTGGCTTTCTCTGCGTGGCCTCCCTTCTGAACTAGGAAGACTTCAGATTGGACTGATAAAAGGTTTGGGACAAGAGGGAATAATCAGGATCCAAGCTGACTTTCTAGAAGGGACAAATAGAGAAATCTAAAAAACACAAAATACCAGGAAGACCCAAAGGATCAGAAACAGTAAAACTGTACTCCGGACTCCTTAGCATTCACGACTAGAGAACCTGAGGTCTCCTCTAGCTCTGCGGGGATGCGATTTCACCCTCAGATATGTTTTGGGGGGAAGCACTAACATAGCCGCCTCCCCTCCAAAAACCCATCTTCTCCTCTCCCTAAATCTGGAGTTTGCTTTAACACCTGGGTAGCAAGTAGCTTCCTGAGAGCGCTCTTTGCTCCTCACATTACCTCCCTCCCCTCCAGTGCTGGCGCAGACAGGGCAGGCCTACAGCCTGGTCCTGATACCCCAAGTTTCTAGTATGCTGTAAAGCATGCAGGGACTGGAATAACTGGCAAATAAGAGCCAAACTGAGTTGTTTGGAAAGGTGGACATGTACCTCTTGAAGCAGTGTGCCGCTGTAAGGACCCAGCAGCTACTCAGGAGCGTGGCCCCACACAGGAGCCTGCCATCTCCATGGGATGACTTCAACCGAAGGGACACCTGCCAAGGCCAGCCACCCCTAGGAAGAAAGTAAGCCACTCCTCAGTATCATAAAAGGCAGAAAAGCAAAGTACCCCTTAAAGCAATGACTTACAAGGCTTATAGGTGGAAGGAAAGGAGAATAACAGGAGCTCAAGGATATGAGATCCCTTCCTACTTTGAAAAGATACCCCTACAACCCTGCACAGACCACCCTGAAGCTTTCCTTAAAGGCATTTGTATGCATTGCCCCATCTCTACATTCTTGGGAACAAGTTGAGTCTTCTTTGTATTTCATGATTTGATGGGGATTTTCTCTCCTCACTCTACCTCACCCAAGCAGCCTAAAGAAGTATTTAATAAACAAAGTGCTGGTTTCCACTAGTAAATTCAACAAACAAAAATATTATATTAAAATCAATCAAATCCAAAACACATATGTTCTAAACTAAGTGAGATTTGTAGTTATACATTTTTTTCAGATCTCCTGTTAAATTAGTTTGTTTCTGCTACATAACTTTTCAGTAGTACATTTATTTCATAAATCAGGGGACAGTGATACAAAAACATGGTCTATATAAAGTAAATGTAGGTCAAAGGACAGTGACATTATCAGTGTAATCCGTATGCAACATAGAAAATAAAATAACCAAAATGAATCCCTTATATAATAGTAGAAAATCCCCAGTTTCTAACCCTGTATGTATATAAATAATTCTGTAATATAGAAAATCTCCTCTGAAAAACCTTTTACCTTAAAGAATTTTTCCCACCAATGATCCTCTTCTGCCGACGGTGCAGTAATCTCAACCCACAGACAGATGAGAGGGACTCTGAAGCAGAAACAGGTTATTAATTAAACTATCATCTTGCTGACAGTGGGTTAAAGACACAAGTGGCACATTCCCCTACTGCTTCCTTCTCTGTTTTGAATGCCTTTTCTCCTGAAATTATAGCATACTTTTCTTATAATAAAAATTAAAAGTTGTTGGGGCCAGCCCAGTGGCAAAGTGGTTAAGTTCACGCGCTCCACCTCGGCGACCAGGGATTCACGGGTTTGGATCTTGGGTGGGGTCTTAGCACTGATCATCAGGCCATGCTGTGGCGGCATCCCACATACAAAACAGAGGAAGACTGGCACAGATGTTAGCTCAGCAACAATCTTCCTCAAGCAAAAAGAGGAAGATTGGCAACAGATATTGGCTCAGGGCCACTCTTCCTCACTACCCCCCACCCCCCAAAAAAAAGTTGTTTTCTCATTCAGCCATGGCAACAATAGTTCTCGAGCAGATGAGGAACTTTATGAGGTTTCCCACATTCAGCTCTGAAGAGGTTTCACTGGCTGCTGAACGGTTTGACCCTGTCCAGCACATCATCCTTGTAGGTACCCACATCTCCTCCTCTGCTGATTACACAGGCTCTCAGGAACATTAAACAAAACAAGAGAACTACACAGGCAATAATGGTCTAAATTACTTGCTTTTCACATACAATACACCTACAAGCCATATATACAAATGTAACTCAGAGGAACAAAGCACAGTCCCAGGATAGAATTTTGATCTAAGTTTACATTTACTCCTGTAGCATATTAACATATGGAAAGGGTTTATTACTAAGCCAATTTAAATAACAAACTGTATTTAAGGGTATATAGTCAAACTTCCCAAGATAACGGACTTCTGTGAAGAACATTAAAAAAATTTAAATTAAAAATATATGAAAGATGGTGTACAAACAAGGAGTAAATAAAATAAGGTATGACTCATTTTTAAAACAATTTTAGAAAATAGAAGAATCTATGGGGGAGTGTTTTGTTTCTTTGGTTAAGTACATGTGTATAAAGGTAGATATGTACTGTTTTTCTATCTGCATAAGAAGAGGGTGGGAATTGTGCCACGACCATGGAAACCTAGTCAGCACTAATGGGCTCCCATAATAACCAGGCAGAAGGGAGCTCAATAGGGGATCAGCACTAGTTATTTCTCTGGAGAAAGAGATTCAACAGTGTGTACCAAGATCATTATTTTGCCAGATCTCAGAGGCATGCTGTCAAACTTTAATCCTCGCGTCTTAGGATATGAGTCCTCTAGATGACACTGCAAATTATGAAAGAGAAAAACACAAGTTTCCAATAACGCTCCAAGTCAGGTCAAGGCATAGAATGCCAAGAGAAGGAATGATGTAACACTGAGCAAGCAAATCTGAAAGTTTACATCATTCTGAAGCAAAGGACCAAACTGCAAGAAAGTAAAACCTATTCAAAGCCATAAAACTCACTGTTACAAAAGAATTAAAAAGCAAAATGAAGTTCATTTGTAAAAGGATCCCATCAGAGGACCAATAACCAAGGGCTTGAGTTTGAATCACCTTATAGAAGTAACTAGATCTTGAGGCTCAACCCAAAATCAATAGGTCAATAAGCCAAATTCATTAATCTAGCTGAATTTGATGAAATTCAGCTAAGAGGAAATCATCCAGTCTAAGATGAGATCTTTGTGTTTGAGGTATGGTGGCACTGGAACCACGGTAAGGTACCAAACTAGGTGTTGCTGCAACTCTGGGAAGCCATAAAAGCAAATGCACCAATAATGAACAAATAAACATGGTATTTCATATTTTAAAATAGGTTTACACAGAAATATAGTAAGACATTTTACAATCATTGAATTTTTATGTTTTTCTACTGCTTAAGAAATTTGAAGTAATCCAAAGAATTATTTATATTCAATTTGTAGTTATAGTTTAAATTATTGAAAAGAATTTAATAAATTAAGTTACAATCAATACTTAGGAAAAATTGGCTTACCAAATCATATTTATTAATATATAAGGAATACGTTTTATATATACATATATATAAAAAACAAAGCACAAACAGTTGTAAGTGTTCTTCTCTACACTCAAAAGCTCCTCAAATAGCGAAGAATCATATTAACAACATCCAAGTTATTTATTTCATTGTCTTTAGCAGTTACTAAAGGATGTTAGAAAAAGAGAATGCTTGGGGCTGACCCGGTGGCACAGCGGTTAAGTGTGCACGTTCCGCTTCAGCAGCCTGGGGTTCACTGGTTCGGATCCCAGGTGCAGACATGGCACTGCTTGGCAAGCCATGCTGTGGTAGGCATCCCACATATAAAGTAGAGGAAGATGGGCATGGATGTTAGCTCAGGGCCAGTCTTCCTCAGCAAAAAGAGGAGGATTGGCAGTGGATGTTAGCTCAGGGCTAATCTTCCTCGAAAAAAAAAAAAAGAGAGAGAGAATCTTAAATATAGATGTACCTGATTTTAAGAAAATTCAATGTATCAAAACTGTGAACTTTCAATCCACATAAATAAAGAGGTGATTGTTCTTTTCAAGAAATATACCATAGTTTTTTCCAAAATAGCTAGTTCTTTTCCTTATTCATTTAAAGTAGTAGTTATTTCATAAAAATTAAACAGAGCTTTCAAAAACTCTTCTATTTAAGTTTGAAACATTTATTACTGTATTATACTAAAAGATTATTTCTCATATTCCTTACATTTTTAAATTCCAGAGAATAAAATCTACAAAAGATAATTTTCTTTTTGCAATTAATTTAAAAAATTATCCTGTATTTGAAATATTTGCAAGAATGGAAGAAGTGCCTTTCTATGATTCATCGTTAAATTTTCACTTCTTGCTTTCTTTTTTTTTGGCTGAGAAAGATTTGCCCTAGAGCTAACATCTGCTGCCAATCTTCCTCTTTTTGTATGTGAGCCACTGCCACAGCACAACCACTGACAGACGAGTGGCATAGGTCCACGCCTGGAAACTGAACCCAGGCTGCCAGAGGAGAGTGCCAAACTTAACCACTAGGCCTTTGGGGCTGGCCCTCCTGCCTTCTTTTAATGAATATCAATAATTTTAATATCAATTCTGAATCTTCAAGGACCAAACCAACAAGTTTGACAGTTTTATTACATCTAGAGAAGGATGGTACAGAAATGGCTAAGAATGTCAAAAGGGGACAATCCCAGAGATTACAAAATCCTGTAAAGCCATTCCTGCCCTTGACCCCTGCCCTCCCTGGAAGCCCCACCCAGACAAGTTTGTCAAGAACCACTGCCTCTAAATTCTCACACAAGGAACAAGGGACTGTATATATCCTTATGGAAGGGGATTTTTACCATCAAAGCACTGCTTATAACAACGAAGTGGGAATTGGTATTCTTTGACTTGCATAGGCCCCAGAAGGTGACTTACCTTTATTACTGTTAACTGATGCTTTCTTTCCAAAGTAATCACAAATAACTCCTGCATCCTCACTGTGGCGGCAGTTGTGTCTTCCAATATCTTGTTTGATACAGTCAGCCAGGGACCTCTCATTTCCTGTGCATTTTACATTATCCACGTGGATGGGTCCTTTTCCTTCCCCAAAGTAAGCCATGGTTCGTGCTTTGGCAGGACCCCTGGAAACAGAGCATTCTTGAGGACGTGGAGAATCAGTCAATCATACATCTGATAAATCACAACATATGCTCGCTCAATTATATTTCTTAACTTTTATATAGTAAAATTAGCATCTATATGTGCTAAAACCGACTTATTTCATGACTGCAAAAAAAATTAGGAGAGGTAATGACAATACTTTGTTTTCATACACCACAGCTGCTTGATTATTCCAGTTGCCTCTAATTTAGTTTGGGCTAAGAAAGTCACATTTAATGGCATGTCAAAAAATCATGATAGTCTCAAACTCTAGTTTAAGCAGGAAAAAAGTCATCTCAAAATTTTCTACTACCTTAAAGAGTATAATACTCTCTTAAAGTTGGTATAATACTGCCAAGAAAATTATGAGATTAAATAATTACCTAGCAGGCTAAGAACTAATTTTTTGCCTACTTTAGAAGTAAAAAAGTTCAATTTTTAACAGAGAAAAAGAAAACCAGGAATCATAAATAAAAGGCAGACTTACTCTTGGTGTATTACCTTTTTTTGTTTTTTTAATAACACTTCTTTTTAAATATCCAAATACAGAAGCTTTTTAATGAAATATTTCAAACTAACACCATATTCAAAACTCAATTCCTGATAAATTGATGACATATCTATGAAAGGCAAAAGTTTTAAAGTTTGAATTGTAAGAAAATTATCCTTATAACCTCAAGTTAGGGGAAGATTTATTAAATAAGACATAGATGGTATACCATAAATTAAAAGATTGATAAATGCCACAAAAATTAAATTAAGAATGCCACTTTACTAAAATCCACCCTAAGGAAATTGAAAAGATAATAAGTTGATGAATATATTTGCAATACATATTTACAAATACGTTTGTTGCTGAAGACATTTTCTAATAGAGTGGAATAGCATACGATATACAAAGAATTTTCAACATTCATTTAGAAAACTAAAAAATTCCAAGAACCCAAGATTAAAAAAGGCAAAAGACAGGAAAAGGTCTTTTTACACAAAAGGAAATAGGTCAGTGGCCAATAAACAAATGAAAAAATGTCCAATCTCATTAGTAATCAGAAATAAGCAATGAGATGACACTAGCTACCCACTAGATTGGCACAAACTGAAAAAAATGGCAAAAAATGAAAAACCATCATTGCTGTTGAATGTGTCAAACGGGTGGACCCCCGAGTAAGCAGTCTCGCGACACTTGATCAGTTGACGGTGCCCATCCTCTGCAAGCCAGAAGGTCTACTCTTGCTTATAGTCCCTAAAAAACTCTCTTGCACAGGTGCACCAGCAAGAAAGGCATGAGAATATTCATAGCAGTCTAACTTTTTCATAGCAAAACTAGAAATTATAAACACCCTATCAATAACACAATACACAAGTTGGATATTTATGTGACAATATCATAGAGCAAAATGAATAGGAGTGAAGTACAGCTATACAGATCAACAGAGGCGAATCTCAAAAGCAGTTCTGAGGGTGGAAAAAAGCAGGTACTGAAGAAAACCTAAAGTATGATTACTTGCTTTAAAAAATATACAAGCAATAGACAAAATTCTTATTTAAGGTATAACTTTAAAATTATGAAGAAATACAGTTGAATGACACATAATTCAAGACAGTGGACTAAGGAGAGTGGGATTGGCCCACAAGGAGCTCAAAGGTACACTCATGTTCTGTTTCCTAAACTCAGTGGCAGACAGGACTGCCCTGTGTGGTCCTGCATGTTGTGCGCAGCATGGCACCAGGAGATGCCATGCATGTGGCTACAGCCTGTGCAACTGAAAATGTGGCTGTGGTGAGATGACGTGTGTTTGTTTCATTGCTATCCTTTAAAAAATACACACACATATACATATTGGCTGTATATTTCCCAATTAAAGACAAAGAAGAGGGCTGGCCCCGTGGCCGAGTGGTTGAGCTTGCGCACTCCACTGCAGGCGGCCCAGTGTTTCGTTGGTTCGAATCCTGGTCGTGGACATGGCCCTGCTCATCACACCACGCTGAGGCAGCATCCCACATGCCACAACTAGTAGGACCCACAACGAAGAATATACAGCTATGTACTGGGGGGCTTTGGGGAGAAAAAAGGAAAAAAAATAAAATCTTTAAAGACAAAGAAAAAAATGGGAAAATATTAATCTTAGAAGATTTTTTAAAAAGTTGAGTCAAAAAATTTATTTGCAGAATTATAGGTAATATCTTTTAATTTGACTACTTTCTTATGACACACAAAAAAGCATCTAATGAATAGGCATTAATTTCATAATTAGAAATAAAATGTTACTTAAGAAAAAATCTAATTTTATTTTAGGAAATTATAAAATAAATCAACAATACCTTATATCAGAGAAACATGTTTTAATGTTAATCGAGGTGGTGATACTTTGCAAACAACTACTGAAAATACATCTGCTATCAGAATACTTCGATACAGTCAGGAAACAATGTTTTCTTGTTGTTAGCTTAGTCATCACAGTATACAAGAGTAATTTATCACTAAAATAATTCCATCCACTGAACTGAAGAGGTTTAGGACTACCACTGTTAGATTAAGAGGCATTGTCAGCGGTGGACCACACTGTGGACCTGAGCGTGAAGCCAGTTCTGTCTCTCACTAGCTATGAAACCTTAGACAATTATGCAACCTCTCTGAGACACTTTCCTCATCTGCAAAACTGAGATAATAGGAACTACCTCATTTGGTTATTGTGAAGATTAAATGAGACAATGCCTAGTACATAGTAAGTACTCAATAAATGTTAGCTATAATATAGTTTGTTAATAACTGGTTGTTATTAAATTTACTAAATTTTTAAAAATACAAGTACAAAGAGGGAGGGAATAAAAATACAAACAAGCCAGCAAACAGGCCAGGCTGGTAGATACCCCTTAAAATATCTTCACTTAAAATTTTTGTTTGGCAATGTTCACTTTTTCACTTCCACCCTAGAAGACAGATATTACATATTTACTCATGATCACATGTAAGCATATGTGAAGGAGCTATATGATAAAGAGTAATTCCTAATAAAATACTCAGAAGAATGATAAGCATCAGAATCTTCAAAGTTACTACTTTCCAAACACTCAGTGGTAGAAAAGGCTTAAGATCTGCTCAACCCAGCGACAGGGCAAAAGAAATTTCAACCTGTCTAAAGGTTAGAACACATTCTTATAATGCGGACTTCTGGTTTCAGCCACTTATGTCTTGAGCAATATATGGTGTAGCTGTCAACACTCTCCAATGACTAATGCCTGTTTTCTCTGCATCTACTGTTCTGCTGAGGTGGGAATGTCAGAGGGAAAAGTGCATAGCCCAGTTTCAAAATCTTTCCTGTTCCGAGAAACCACAGCATATGAGAGCCACACATGGGAATCAAAAGTATGAGAGGTTTTAAATCAAAAGAAAGCGTCTCATCAAAAATGACAATATAGACTTCTAACATCAAAATAGATTCTACTTAATTCAGATAAAGTTATTATGTTTCCTTACAGTTAGGCAGGGAACTCAAGTGAAGCAGTTTATTGATATGGATTATCTGAGAAATTCACTTAGATAATCCCCTTTGAGCACGCTCATAGTTGGCAGCACATTCATTTTGTAAATAAACCCAGTCATTTCTTCTGACTTGGTAATAGCTATTCTGACATAAATTGCAAATAAAAATAAGTTTTAACCCATTAGAAATCTTTACAGCCATGGAAGATCCCTGTGCCCAAACACGTGACTCTAAAGGTACTCTTAGAGTAAATCTTTTTTTATATATAAAACGCACTTAATAATTGCATGAGTAATAAATGCTTATTGTATAAAATTTTCAAAATAAATGTATAAAAACCCCCAACAGCACACTACTAGCATTTGAGTATATTTCCTTCCTGTACATACGTAAGGGGAAAATACTATCATTTTTAATGGTTAAAAACTTCATTGTACAGATTGGTGGCTCTCAACCTGCAGGCTATTCAAGAGGCCACTTGAGTTGATTCTGAGTGAGTGTATCGAGGTGGGACTTAAGAAATCTATTTTTTTAACAAGCCCCAGATAGTTCGGCATCAAACTTTGGTGTAGAAAAATTAGAATTTATTTCCCTACTGTCACACGTTTATTTTAAAAATTTAGGCTTTTTATGATTATATGCATCCTGATACGTAAATTTTTATGGGAAGCTCAGATTTCTTCCCAGCAATGAAATTTTTGTTCAACAGGTATAAACATTTCTTAAGGTTCTGGATATGTATTGCTGAACACAGGGCAAGTCTTTTGAAAGCAAGTTATGCATTTGAAATATCTATAATTAAAATGCAACCATTTAAAGCAAAGGTTTTCTTCTGTTTTATTTTGTGTGTCATAGTTCTGATCTGTCTGGAATTTATTGCTGTTTAGGGTTAATAAGGGATCTAGCTTTATTTTTGCCCCTAAGGTAATTGTCCCAATAACTTTTCCTGCTGATTTGAAGGGCTTTTTTATTTACTCATCTATCATGCTTATATGTACACAAGCCATTGCTTGGTCTTTATAGTTCAGTAATTCCCAACCATGGCTACACATTAAAATTACCTTTGGGAGCTTTTAAAATATAGCCAATCCTGAATCCCACCTGACATCAAATAAAGTAGAATCCGTGGGAGCGGAGCGAGGCATGGGTAATATTTTTTTAAGTCCCAAAGTGATTTTAATGTACACCAAGGTTGATAACCACTGCTGTAGTTGGTAACATTGACTTCTTTGCCTGTTCCTGTGCCAGTGTCACGTGGATTTGGTTTCAGATGAATTCAGAAGTCAAGGCCTCCTCCCCATCCCACATACATACCAGGAAAAGCCAAAGATTTTTATGAGCATAGCATTTAATGTATAGGTTAATTTCTATTTTGTCTTCCCATTTAGGATTGTGGGGTACCACTTATTAGGTCTTCCAAATTTAGTAAAAATCTATTTCTTTTCGTATATATAGGTCTCATTTTTTCTGACATTTATTCCTGGATTTCTTTTTTT